CACAACTATTAAAGTGTCACTTTCATTCTGTTTTAATATTGTTTAATCTGTAATAAAGTTTTGGTCTGGGAAATTATACTAAATGACATTGGAAACAAAGCTGCATGTGCTATGTAGACTTGCTTGGGAGACAGGGGACAGCTCGGTCCCAATCCCATGGGGTAACAGACATCACTTGACCCCTGGAGTATGGGATGGACTTTGCAGAAAGTCCTTCCACTTGTACATGGAAAGGCCCCAACTGGACATACCACTCAGAGTGAGGGGGTATCCCCTTCCAGAGGCCGTGGCCCTGCCTGCCCAAAATGAAAGATTTTTGAACAGTTAGCCAGGAGACTCTGCGGGGTGGGGAAATGGAGCTGCTAGTTAGTGGTTACTATCAGGGAAAAGCCCCTGGGTAACAGAGGCTCTTGGGGAGGCTGACTGCAGCAATTGTAACTGAGGCGAGCAGCCTCTTTTCTGTTGGGAAACTGATGCCAGGACCCCTCCAGCAGCTTTGGACGGCTGTAAACAGTAAAAACAAACTTGTTCTTCATCCGGGACGTGATCCTCTCACGCCTGATTTCTCCAACACTGCTTCCAGTCATCGAACCTAGGAACTCACTGGGTCAGCGTCCGTCCTGTCATCCCTGGGCCCCAACCTTATCTCCGCGCAAGGCAGGAGTAACAGCACCAGCCAACTCGTTGCCCTCCACCTCCCCTCTTCAGTGATGGCCTTTGGGACCCTCAGGGGACCATTCTTGCCATTGCTGAGTTGAGGGATTTTGAGTCACACAGGGAGGAAATGGTTAATTATTGCTGCATTGTTGGACATTACTCATTTTTTCCCTGATTCTCCTGATTTTGTCCCCATGTCCTGCCATTTCTCTCTCTCTCTCTCTCCTTCAGTCCTGCCTTTCTATAAATAAAACATTGTTTATTCCTATCAGTTGGTGCTTGATTTCCTGTACTTATAAATTGTATTGTCCTAGTGGTTACTTTGGCGTATCCAGGACTGTCAATCACTGTGTTACTCCTGCCTCAGCAAGACAGAGGCCTAGCTGGTGCTAAACTGGGTGTTAGCTCCCAGAAGCCCCGGATCAAACAAACACCTCCGCATTCTCCCTGCTTTTGCTTTGCCTGCAGCTTAATATTTGATGCCCTGTGGTTCCCGAGCTTCTCTAACAGTCCTCCTGTGGCATCCAGACAGCTAGGCTCTGTCTACACTGCAGCACTGTTTCAGGATACCGGAGGCATCCCGAAATAGCTATCCCGTGTCTTCACAGCAAGCCCGTTACTTCAAAATGTAATGGGCTCACTATTCCGCCGTCCCTGTAACCCTCATCCCGCGAGGAGTAAGGGATGTTTCAGGACAGCGGGTTATTTGAAAATTTGGTGCTGTGTGGATAGTGTCAAATGACGAAATAAGCTATTTCAAAATAAGATGGAAGTAAGATACACAATTTGAGCTACACAAATTGCGTATGTTATTTTGACCTAAGGTGCAGTGTAGACGTATCCCCATTGGACACGCACAGTACCTGACAGCTTCACTAATCCCAAGGAAACAGGATACACACAGCTTGACTAGTACAACTCATGGTCAGTCCTTTATACTATTCCACCATGGATTTATAGGGAATGAATTGTACATTTCCTTTCAATTTTTCTTATATACCTAGTATTCCTCACTCACTATCAGGGACTTAAACCTATTAATAAAAAGAGCCACAACCTCCGTCTTCACAGATCTGCATGCAAGTTTCATTAGAGGCTCCAGTCTAGGAGGTGTGTACAGCAATGTCTTCTCCAGTCTTTTCCATCCATGTGTGGATTTTTTCTATCCACATGCAGAATATTTTTTTATATGCACCGAGGCATTGGTGAACGTGCACCACCAGTGGAGACAAAAATACGAGCTATGGGTACAGGCATGCCCTGATGTAAAAGACATTCACAACAATGCAACTGAATCATATAAACATGCAAGAGATGGCCTGCAAAACCTCATTTTTCTCCTGAGAATACCACGGGATTTGGGGACAGCCCTTTCCAACTTCCTTAGATTGCAGTGCCTCAATCCTACAAATACTTAAGCCCAGGTGTGACTCTACTCCTGAGAGTAATCTCATCAAAATCAATAAAACTCATGAGTAAAATTACACACCTCAGTGTTTGTAAGGGCCAGCATTCCCCTGTAGCCTTTCCGGTGGAAACCACTGGCTAGCAAGAGAGTAAGTGTAGTAGCTGGGTGGGTAGCTGGGATGAACGTAGTCAAGGGAATGCCATTCTTTCAAATACTACTCCAAGTAGGAGAGCCACCTCCAGATGAACCCTTACAGGCCCTTAGCATTGCACGAAGTAGGGCAAGACTTGCTGAAGTAGCAATCCCTTTAAAGCAGCACCTAGCACAGACATATACTAGGGAAAAGGACGTTTTAACCCATCATAATCAGTGACCATACCTAGAAAATAGAAAATACCTCCTGCCATGCCAGGAACTTTATGAAGGACTTGACTTAGTAGCCTAGAAGTTTCTCTCTCTTTCTGTGGCCCTTCTCTGGATAGCTGTACAGAGGTCTCACATCCTCACAGTGTACTCAAGTCACCTATTTTTCCTCATTTGTTAACTGGAGGATATTGTCCAGTACTTCGGTCTTAAATGTTAGTTGCACCTCAGTCCATTAGCAAGTCTACCTTCGGTCTTAAATGTTAGTTGCACCTCAGTTAGAGTCCATTAGCAAGTCTACTGATATAAATCTGACTGCTCTCTGACGTGCACTTGGATCTGCAGGCACCAAAAATAAATAGCTTCTGAACAGTAAATGTAATCAAAGAAACAGTAACAGATTATGAGAAGTGTGATCCCAAGCCTGGAAATCAATCCCAAATTTCAGTCATATCCTTTCATGCTGATCCCTCACTGTGGCCTGAGGGAAGCTTCTTTAGCTCCCTCCTTCAGTTTGCCCTATCTGTAAAATGGGACTAATAGTATCTCATGAGGGTGATGTGAGGTTTAATTAGTGAACAGTTGCAAAGCACTGAGTACAATTAGTGCTGTATAGAACTCAGGCAGAAATGAGACCCAGCAAAACTCGAGCACAACAGAGGTTAACACTTTTACTCCTGTTCACTAACTACTATTTCAGGTGCAAACTGTTCTGCACATTTGTTTACATCTTTCAGATGTCATTACTCCCATTTCAATGAATTAGGGACACGGGGCTCTTTTTCTGAACCAGCTTTCCTATGAGCGTTAGATTGGCAAGGACATTTAGTAAGTTGAATGTTCTTAGCTTGTGTTTTTAACAGAACCTCTTATGCCCTATTAAAGCAGGAAACTCAAAGGACCCCTCCCCTAAAAGGCTCTAAAATAGCTCCTCCTATAAGGGCTAAAGTCCCATTCATTTAGCCACCCTTGAGCCTTAGTAAAACAGAGTGTATAGCAGGAAGTTAAAGCATAGCAGCAGTGTTTGCTTATGGACTCGTTCCTTGAGGCACAAGGGGAAACCTCCAGGGAGATGGAAATCCCACCAAAGAGAAAAAAGAAGAGAAAGCATTCAGCCAGCAAAGAAAAACATAAAAGTGCGAGTAAGTACAAGTTTAATCATGCGCCCTAGGTTGGCTGCTATCCCCTTCCCTTAGATCCTTAATTTTCTCTCTTGCAATTGAATTCTCTCCCCCCCCCCCAACTTTTATTTTCTTGTTATGAAAGAATAAGGAGCTTTGGGATTGACTATGTATGAGTGAATAATTGGGAACTTGCAGCCACCACCTGCAGAGATGCCCTTTATAAAGCCAAGTACAACCAGAGGGAGTTCAGTGTCCTTTACTCCAGTGATCCTATAGACTAGAGAGAAGGGCACCTAGACTTCCCCCCCCAGCTCAGGACTGCAGACTTTCAAAGTGTTCCAGGCCTACCATTGGCACGACTGTGAGCATAGCCATTTCCTACATGTGCATTTGTGCACATTCAACTAGTGCAATGCCTGTGTGGCTGTTCTGCTTTAGTTTTAAGAGTGACTTCTTTTGGTTTATTTCAATCCTGTTCCTAACTGGCTTAACTAGAAAGAAGCCTGGAATAAGAACGTTTGCACCAATGTCTTGAAATTGGTTTAAAATCACACTGCAAGTTAAATGGGGACAATTCAATGTGTGGGCAAGTCCTTGGCAGAGTTCTGGCAGTTGCTGTATTGTTAGGGGAGGGGATTTGGCATTCTTTGCTCCCCAGGTGGGGAACTTAAGGCCTGGCGGCTAGATGCAGCCCTGGGCTTACCTGGATCCAGATCCCGAGGTTCAGGGTCTGCCCCCAGCACTGGGGAGCCCACATGGGCGCTCCAGCCACTCTGCAGCCCCATTGCAGGGCTGGAGCACACAAAATCTACTAGGCTGGGCCCCCCAGGCTCTGGTGTACCAGGAGAATGTGGGGAAGCATCTTTCTCCATCTCAGTCAGGGGCCACACCAGTGAGGGTCTGGTGGGTTTTTTTTTTTTTTTGCTTCTTACCTGTGTGCGGGCCCCGACTGATTTGTGTGTGGGTCAGTGGTCTCTGACCCAAAAAAGGTTCCCCACCCCTGCTATATATGTTGTGCTCAACTCTTCATGTCCTGGGTTTCTAACATTTACCCCTGCTATATATGTTGTGCTCAACTCTGCACATCCTGGGTTTCTAACATTCGATAACTGGTATCTGCAGAGTCCTTGCCTTTTTTTTTTTTTTTTTAGCTTTGATCCATACAAAATGGTGATGGTTAAGGAATGTAGGCTGGAGGAACTGGCTGGCTGGCACAGATAGTGGAGGAAAGCTAATATAGAGAAGAGAATAGGGGTGGGGTTTTGACAGTGGCTCAGACTCTGAGAAAACAGAGTTATGAAGCCAAAAGAAGTTGCCTATCACAGTAACCTTTGCTTTCCAAATATACTGAGTTCCACAGTAACCCTCCTGCCCCAATATTCTGAAAACTTAAAGGATGCATCTGTAGCTAGAGAGAAACTGAGGGATGGATGCATGGGTTTTTATACCGTTAACAAAATCCTGACACAAAACCGGAAGGGTGCAGTCTTGCTTCAGCTTTGGTCTTTATGTTGATTCATCACTGTTTCTGCAGGATGGGACGGTTGTTTCTTACATTCTCTGATTTCTAAAAATAAAACCAATCAATTTTTTTTAAAAAAAGAAGCATGGTTGCAGGTATATGGAACAGAGATTTGTTCTTAACTATTTTTTGGTTTAAGTAGTGGACTTGTGGCTTTAAATAATGCAGTGTGGCATAAATTGTATAAGTTCATTTTGTATTCGACAAGACATCTCTTTTCTAGTGAATGGTCCAATCCACTAATTTCCTCCTCCTATCCCTCTTCCTGTCTCCCCAGTTGCCATTCATTCCTTTCTCCTGTGCATTTGGTATTAACACACTAATACGTTTTCTCATGTCCAGTACTCATCATCTTCATTTAAATGTATTAGCTTGTTAGGTCCTCCAGAATGTATGTATTTATGCTGGACCTGAAAACTATTCAGTTCACCTCTGCATATCATTTATAAAAACAAAAATATGCTGGACCTGCTGGCTCAACAGCTGCTCTGTTTTCCACAATCCACCTTTACTGCCCTATATTCTGATAAATTATATTATCATATAGTGTATTGATTATACTCTCTTGTGGAACCTAATTTTAAATGAAAGAGGCAATACTATTAGAGGGGACTAAAAACCTTAGAACAAGCTGAGCCATACACAGTTCCTTGGCCGAGCGAAAATATTGTATTGGTGACTAAGCAGTTTCTAGTATCAGAGGGGTAGCCGTGTTAGTCTGAATCTGCAAAAGCGACGAGGAGTCCTGTGGCACCTTATAGACTAACTGAAGTGTAGGGTGGGTCTTTGCCCACGAAAGCTTATGCTCCTACACTTCAGTTAGTCTATAAGGTGCCACAGGACTCCTCGTCGCTTAAGCAGTTTCTGTGGTGGGATTTGTCATAAGGCATGATTACAGAGACTGGTGCAAACCAGTCATGTGACACTCAGTCTAGCCTTGCTTTCCATTCTTAGAAAAGGATCACCCCAGGGACCAGGACCACTGTAGCAGGGAAGGAGGGCAGCCCGGGATGGTTTCAGTGGGGAGTTAGGGAGGTGTGCAGTGCACAAAAAGGCTTTGGCAGCTGTGGTGAGGAGAACTTGTGCACCGGGGCAGTGGACATGAAAGGGTGGCAATGAGGGATACAAGTACAATCCTTGAGGCACATGTAAGTTTTAGCTGCCTAGTGGTACCTCTTATGTTGCTACCAGAGGCAGAATTTAGGAAAGCACCATAAAACACACTGGCTGCGTCTAGATTGGCATGATTTTCCGGAAATGCTTTTAACGGAAAAGTTTTCCGTTAAAAGCATTTTCGGAACAGAGTGTCTAGATTGGCATGGCCGCTTTTCCGTAAAAGCACTTTTTGCGGAAAAGCGTCCGTGCCAATCTAGACACGCTTTTCCGCAAAAAAAGCCCCGATCGCCATTTTCGCAATTGGGGCTTTTTTGCGGAAAACAAATCTGAGCTGTCTACACTGGCCCTTTTGCTCAAAACTTTTGCGCAAAAGGGACTTTTGCCCGAACGGGAGCAGCACAGTATTTCCGCAAGAACACTGGCAATCTTAATGAGAGCGTCGGTGCTTTTGCGGAAATTCAAGCGGCCGGTGTAGACAGCTGGCAAGTTTTTTCCGGAAAAGCGGCTGATTTTTCCGGAAAAACTGGCCAGTCTAGACACAGCCAATGGCTTTTCAGGTGTGCAGTAAACTGGAAAGGAGGGCAGAGCCTGAAACCCAGTCCAACACTTTCTTATATTTCAGGAACAATCTCCCACACAGCTTCCTCCAAGGAAAGTCTTCTGTCCCTGTCCTCCCCCTTCCAGCACCCCCAGCTTTCTCCCCTCCCCCCTTTGAGC